AAAGCCCAGAGAGATGAGCAATGGTATGACTGAGGTATGACATATTCCAGGTGAGGCACCAAGATCACACAGCAGAAATATAAATATATATACATTACATAAAAACCTGTATTTATGAATGGAAATTACATCTAAACATACTATCTTACATTTCTTTAAATTATATCTAATAAATTTATGTTTTCACTGTCTAACAATAACTATTTCTAACAATAACTAACAGAACTATTTCTGAAAATACAAGCATCACGTATGTTTCCAAAATTTTTATAATGAAAACTATTAGTAATTTTAAAGCAATGAGCAATCCATATAATAACAAATAAAAAGGCATGCAGATTGACATCGAACATGAAAAAGACAATTATCATTATATTTATAGGGAAACACTAAACTCACATGGGTCATAAGCAGTAAAAAAAGTAAAGAAGATTAAGCACAAAGCAACATGGAGAAACATCAAATACAGTGGAACGTCTAATCACGAGTTTAATCTGTTCCATGACCTTGCTCACATCTGGATTTGCTTGTTTGCAGAGTCAATATTCCTCATTTAAAGTAACTGAAATTCAATTAATCCATTCCAGTGGAATTCTGTACTTCAATAATATCCCTGATATCAACTTTATGGCTTATTTATCTATCACAATTCATCTAATATGATATAATAAACAATGTAGATAACATAGAAACCTGATACATACTCTCAAATGAATAAAATATGTCATTCATGTAGTGGTATCGTCGGGGGACGAGAGTTTGTATGGAGACAGGACAAAATACTCCTTGAATAACTTCACTAATATCATCTATACAGCTTATTTATCTATCACAGTTCGTCTAATATGACATAATAATATAAATAACCTAGATATTTATTCTAGAATAAATAAAATGTCATTATGTAGCAGGTGGAGGCGGCAGCAACTGCTCCCGCTTTGTTGTGGTAAACAATGCCATCTAGTGACAGCCTTTTGAAGCTGTCTATTATTATAATTATTATATATTATACATGTATTATTATTATATGTATTATATTAACCCCTTGACTGTCGCGGTCGTATATATACGTCATGGGAGATACCGTGTTTGACGTACCTATACGCATAAATTCTAGCAGTTTTAAATCAAGCAGGAGAGGGCTGGTAGGCCTACATGAGAGAGAATGGGTCTCAGTGGTGGGTGTGCACCCTGTGAAAAAAATCTGGGACTCAGCGGTGCATTATGGGAACGCCATCTTGGGAGTCCATTTTCACCATGTCTCGTGGTAAGAAGTTCCTCACTCCTCGGCGGATTGGAGGTCTTTTGTTCCCAAGTGATAGCTCAAACAGTGATGAAAGTGTCGGTGAAACCGAATTCCCTGGTTTTGAAGTGAGGGTGACCGAAAAAAGTGCCCAGGATAATGTAATTAGTGATGAAAACCCAGATGACCCACAACCTTCCACCTCTGGTGCTGGGCCGGCTCGTTCATGTTCACCTGTACCAGGACGAAAGAGGAAACTATTTGCCCGTGTACAAGACTCAGATGTGAGCAGTGTAAGTGATAGTGATAGTGATTTCAAGGTTACTGAAAGCAGTTCCAGTTGTGACATTGAGGGTGAATATTCCCCGGTGAAGCGGCAGTATATACGACGTCGCATGTGGTCTGGTAGTGTGCCATATGCTCTTCCAAGAGGAAGGAGTACATCTCGGAGCACATCCCGTGGCCCTACACCACGACCTGATAGTGAAGATGACAATATTGTTACGATGGGTATCAATGATGCAAGTGAGGCAGCAGGCAGTGGTGGTGATAGTGATGGTAGCACGAGTCATGTGACACCAGCAGCGGGCCACGCTACTACCCACGCTGCTGACTCTGCACAACTACAACCAGCCCCACACTCCCACAACAACCACAACCACAACCACAACCACATAACAATATCCAGAACCCACCAGCTGACCGCATCTGGGATTGGCAGCAAGATGACGAGTTTGTTCCCAGTCCCCATGACTTTGATGGAGGAAAAAGTGGAATACGGCCATCATGTACATTTGGTAACAATCCCACTGAACTGGAATGCTTTCAGTTGTTCTTCGATGAACCCCTGATGGACATTATTGTCAGGGAAAGCAATACATACTTTGAGTACACCATGGCAAACAATATTCTGTCACCAAGATCACGCCTACACCAGTGGAAGGACACAACTGTGGCAGAGATGTATCTGTTCTTTGCCACAATAATGCTTATGCCACATGTGTATAAGCACAGTGTCAACACATACTGGATGACAGACTGCCTGATTTCAACCCCAGCTTTCAGTGACATTATACCAGTGAATAGATTTGTGTTACTGTTACGTATGTTACATTTTTCAGACAAAACAAGGCCTGACAGAAGCGACAGGTTATATAAGATCAGACGTGTGTTTATGTACCTGAAACAAAAGTGCTGTATGTATTTTTATCCCTTCAGGAAGCTTGTTATTGATGAGTCTTTGATTTTGTTCAAAGGAAGACTTTCATTCAAACAGTATATACCAAGCAAGAGGAAATGCTTTGGTATAAAGTTATTTGTTCTGTGTGATTGCAAAACTGGTCTGGTTTTGGATATAATTTTGTACACTGGCGACAAAACACTGGAAGATACCAGAAAGTTACTGGGTATCTCTGGTGATGTGGTTAGAACAATGATGGAGCCATATCTTGGTAAGGCAAGGGGCATATTTTATATACTGACAACTGGTACACAAGCCCTATACTCAGTGATTTCTTGCAAGTGAACATGACAGATGTGTGTTGCACAGTGCTTGGAAATCGTAAACATATGCCTAGGTTCGATGCTGGCAGTCGTAGAGGTGAAGTGCAGGTGTTTGCTGCCAATGACATCATGGCATTTCGGTGGCATGACAAACTTGATGTCACACTGCTGACATCAGTTCACCGACACGAAATGGTAGACACTGGCAAGCAGACTAGAGAGACCAATGAACCCATTGTAAAACCTGCAGCTGTGATGGATTACAACCTCAATATGCGCTTAGTGGACAAATGTGACATGCAGATTGGGTTTGCTGACTGTGTTCGCAAGAGTTATAAGTGGTACATAAAACTGTTTTTCCATCTACTTGACATTTCCATGCTGAATGCTTATAATATGTATAAGTTGAAGACCAAGAACAAACCCAAATATGGTGAATTTTGTTTGTCAGACATCAGACAAATAATAATGAAGTACCTAGGAACAACACTTGCAATAGACCAGCGCCCACGAAATTATCAACACATGCCCTCTCGTCTGAGGCCTGGTGATCACTACCCCATACCACTGCCTGCTACTGCTCTCAAGAAAAATGCTCAGAAGAGGTGTTTTGTTTGTGGACATACCACAAAACACCCACAAAAACGCAGACACTCGTTTTATGTGTGAGGAGTGTAAAACACCATTGTGCTTATACCCATGTTTCAAAGAATTCCACAAGCTGCAGCAGTTCTAGAAAAGTGTCCAGTGATTGTACATATGTATATATATTATAGAACAATCGTAATAAATAATGTTTTATATTGTTTGTTTGTGTAAACAAGTTTTAGCAACATTATAATGATACGAGTGTTTTTGCTAAGATTGTGTTACATTCAAAGAGTGTATATTTTAACATTGCACAATAATTTGGTCTCACAGGCCACAAAAGTTATGTGAAAAAATAAAATAGTGAAAAAAACAAGAAACCATCAAATACAAGTAAATCAAAGTTTACCGGGTGAGCGGCAGTCGCCACTGTTGCCGTTCACAGATCATTTTCAGCAAACTTCACACCTCTATATCTCGGCAAGTACTGATGGGATTTTTTTTTTTTTGGACTAAAACAGTCAGAAAAATAATCTCAACATTTTCATAAGAAAATTTTTTTTTTTTTTTTCAAATATTTTGTGGCACCAGAAGACACTTCAGGATTGGGCCTTTCGACAGTCAAAGGGTTAATATTATTACATATATTATTATTATTATATATATTCTTATTATTATTATTACAATATAAATAATTTGTAATTTTTATTCACACAAAAAACTGAAGATTTACTGTTATGCAGACAATTGCATTATTGTAATAATTGTATAAATAATGTCAACCAATTCACAACTGCATATTGGAATGGACAGTGACATAATTTGCTTACTCTTAACATCGCCAAAGAAGCAAATATTTCTCCTACTTTGAGCTCAATTTCAAGGTACTTTCCGTCGTGAAACCAATCAAAATCATATCTTTTTATGTAATATATCTTCCATTCTATCAAATGAAACCACAAAAAAAAAAGAGAGAATACAACCATAAAAAACATACAAAACTACCGCTAAGGGGAGGCTAATTTCTGAGAAGTGAACTTCATTTTTTATGGTTCGATTTCTTTCATTTAATGTGTACGTTAAGAAGTTTCTTTCCATCATACATTGCACAAGTTTCAATAAGATAGTCCAACAAATAAATGAGATCCAATTCCCTAGATCAAGAGCAAGAGCCCCTCACCAGCATCAAGGAACCTCCCTCGAGGCCCGCTCGCTTATGGAAATTTTGCTTGCACATGGAAGCAAAAAACTGACCGATCGACTGCTCGTATTTGGAAAAACTCGCACGTGGATGCACTCGCAAGTAGAGGTTCCACTGTACTGAGGTCTGTATAACAGTGGAATGTAAGAGAATCACAAAGCAGTACTATTAAAAAGAGCAGCTACAATAAATACTTTTTACTAAGATAATACAGGAAAATAATTATTTCTTTCAATTATCCTCATCTCATTGTTTGGTGTGGAATTGGTCCCAGTGAGGTCCAGGGCAGGCTAATATTGAGTATAGTACAAAAACAGCACAGTAACACCTATTACACTTCAAGTTATGTTTCAGTATGTGTACAATATAAAATACTATGGAGAAAATGTGGAAAAAAGACCAATCTCAAAATTGAAGCAGGTTTTAATATCTTGCACATCATAAAGTAAACTAGAACAAATCTTTATGCAAGAAATTTATACAGAACAATGCACACAAATTTAAGAAAACTCTTGAGTTCCAGATAAGAATCTTACTTCCAAAAAAATACACAATGGTACTCACTTCAGAAAATGTAAAAACAAACAATACACTTAACTTACTGAGCACTAAGAGAAGCACTACGGAGTCTAGGTTAAGACACAACACAACAGCACTGGCCAGGTGGCTGCTCAGATAAATCAGCATTGGGCTTGTGGCTAGACTTTTGGCACTTAATATTGGGTTTTGGAGAGATAACATCGCTGGGATCTACATCAGCAATGTCAAATGTGGGAGCCTGTGAAACTGTCTCTCCATCTTTGAGTTGCCTTCCCATACTGGAAACACTATCTTCACTGTAATGCACACTTAAACTCGATTCTGACTGTGTTAGATGTTTAGCAGAAAGTTGGTCACAACTATCAGCAAGAAGGAGATTATTGAGAGAGTGCTGTTCAGTGCTCAATTGTCTGTGGACTACTCCAAGTGTTCCCTTTGTACTATGGCATTCACCTTCACCTCTGCTGTCTGCACCTCCACTTTCACCCATACTACACGCACCAACACTTTCTCCAGACTCCTCTGCTGTCAGGCTGGAGGGCAACCAAGCTCCTGCGTCCATGTCCGGAAACCCTCCTGATGGTGGAGAAGGTGGTGGTTTGTCTCCACTCTCACAAAGTTTTGGTGTAGAGGGAGGGCTAATTTCCTGAGCGGGCTTCAGAAGTTGTGAAGAAATAGGCATACTGTCAGAGTCTAGATGCACAGGAACCTCTTCAAACCATTCTTCTGTGGAAGAGCTATGATGGGAGATTAACCTGGAGGAAGAGGCTCGCAAACGGAGCTTAGATGGTGGGTACGTCTGATGGATGCAGCGCCCAGTGTCTAGTGAATGAGAAGAGGCTAAAGGCACATGCCAATGAGGTTTTATGGCAACAAAGCTGGTGTTTGGTGCAGAATTGACTCGTTTCAGTAGCTGTTCATGGCCATTTACACTCGCTCCTTCTGCAGCAGCTCCACCAAGTAACAAAAGGTTTCGTAAAAGGTCTCTAGATTTCACCCCACTTTCAAATCTTTGATGAGGTTCTCTGGTTGGGTAGCAACACTGACAATGTTGGCTAATTTTCTCTTCGCTAGCACCAGCACTACACACACACTGAGGCAATAAACATGGCCCATGACTGCTGACACTACCTGGAGCAGGAGCCACATCTACCCTTACAGGGGAGAGACATGCAGCAGCTGGGGTGACTGGGATGACCTGGCCTGGAAGGGAGGACAGGGTACTACTGATGGGACACACAGGTGTTACTACAGGTCTTGGGCAAGGTGGGTAGGACTGACACAGGCACCAACCAGCCTGCACAAAACAGTGAGCGTCAGGATCATGCACAAAGTTACGACATGGTGCATGAGGAGAGCAACACATCACTATACCTGCTCCAATAGGTACCTCCACACATAAACTCACTGGCTGAAAGAAAAAAGGATCCAGTTACTTTATGGGAAATGTTTATCAAATTACTAACTTGCCTTACATAATTAAAAATAATAATAAAAATTAATTAAAATTCTGAGGCTAATATCTCATAGTCTGGACATGCAATTCAACTAGTAATATGATTACTGTAGAGCAAGGGTATATAATACCAACAAGCCAATGCGCATCATCTGAGCATCTTCAACGAGAGGTGCCCAGATGTTACACACGTGTTTTATTCATAAACTAGTAAAAGTAATTTATGCATGAAGCTTAAGCTTTCTAAGAACCAACATTACTTGCTTTTCAATGGAAATTTATACTGTTTAACCACAGAAGAAAATTATTAATACCATACTCTATGAGACCAATAATATACTGAAACCTATATACCTGAATATAGGTGTATGGCACATAAATTTAAGAATCGTGTAAAATCTAAAAAGTTAGATAAAAAACAACAGTCCATTTTACTTTTGCACCCAATCTATGCAAAAAAATAAAAACTAAATATTTATACTTTGTGTAATGGATGTGGCTAAAATTATTAAGAGTGCACTCATACAATAATGTCATTCTCTGTAATATGTGTGTGAAAGTTGCTTCCAATATACAGTAGGGCCCCACTTATATGGCAGGTTACATTCCAGGCTACCGCTGGAAAGCAGACATCGCTGGAAAGCAGAATGCCATTTTTTCCACTTATAAATGCAAGATAAGTTAACACTAACATATATTAAGTTGGCAATAGAACTAGGCATTATAAAACAAAAAAAAAAAGGAAAATACACACACAGTACACTCATTACTTACCTCAAAATATTCATAGTCTTAATATAGGGTGAGAGGTGAATAGTATTTATTGTAAGAAGCCAGGTGTGGTAGGTATGGTAGCCCTCCTGGCCAACCCACCCACATATAATATACAGTGGACCCTCGACCAACGATGGCATCGTATAACGTTAAATCTGACTAGCAATACATTTTAACGTAAAATTTTTGCCTTGACTTGCGCTAAAAAACTCGACCAATGCGATTCGTTCCGTTTGAGACGCGTCCACGTGTGGCCTTTGCAGTGTTTACAAGCCAGCCACCAAGGTCGCATCCAAACACACAATCGGAACATTTCATATTATCACAGTGTTTTTAGTAATTGCACCTGCAAAATACTGTAAGTCACCCTGGGCCCCAAGAAAGCTTCTAGTGCCATCCATGTGATAAAAAGGGTGACAATTAGTATGGAAATTAAGAAAGATTTTGAAGGGTTTGGGGCTAACCCTGAGACGCCTATGCCAGTTGTGGAATCCATTGTGCCTGCTTCAAAGATTAAGGAAATGTGTGCAAAGTGGGTTGAACTGCAAACCTTTATGGATGAAAATCACCCTAACACAGCTATTGCAAGCCGTGCTGGTGACTATTACAATGACAATGTTGTGGTCCATTTTAGACAAATCATAAAGGAACAGGAGGTACAGTGGACCCCCGCATACCGTCGCCATCACATAACGTACAATCCGCATACCGCTTGCTTTTATCGCAAAAATTTTGCCTCGCATACCGCTCAAAAACCCGCTCACCGCTCTTCGTCCGAGACGCGTCCAATGTGCGCCCTTAGCCAGCCTCACATGTGCCGCTGGTGGCATTGTTTACCAGCCTGCCTCCGCGGTAACATCCAAGCATACAATCGGAACATTTCGTATTATTACAGTGTTTTTGGTGATTTTATCAGCCAAATAAGTGACCATGGGCCCCAAGAAAGCTTCTAGTGCCAACCCTACAGCAATAAGGGTGAGAATTACAATAGAGATGAAGAAAGAGATCATTGATAAGTATGAAAGTGGAGTGCGTGTTGCCGACCTGGCCAGGTTGTACAGAAACCCAAATCAACCATCGCTACTATTGTGGGCAACAGAAAGGCAATCAAGGAAGCTGTTTCTTGCCAAAGGTTTAACTGTGTTTTCGAAACAGAGATCGCAAGTGATGGAAGATGTTGAGAGACTCTTATAGGTGTGGATAAATGAAAAACAGCTAGCAGGAGATAGCGTTTCTCAAGCGATCATAAGCGAAAAGGCTAGGAAGTTGCATGAGGATTTAATTAAAAAATGCCTGCAAACTAGTGATGATGTGAGTGAATTTAAGGCCAGCAAAGGTTGGTTTGAGAGATTTAAGAAGCATAGTGGCATACATAGTGTGATTAGGCATGGTGAGGCTGCCAGTTCGGACCACAAAGCAGCTGAAAAATATGTGCAGGAATTCAAGGAGTACATAGACAGTGAAGGACTGAAACCTGAACAAGTGTTTAATTGTGATGAAACAGGCCTGTTTTGGAAAAAATGCCAAGCAGGACCTACATTACTGAGGAGGAAAAGGCACTCCCAGGACATAAGCCTATGAAAGACAGGCTTACTTTGTTGATGTGTTCCAATGCTACTGGTGATTGCAAAGTGAAGCCTTTATTAGTGTATCACTCTGAAACTCCCAGACCGTTCAGGCAAAAGAATGTCCTCAAGGAGAATTTGTGTGTGCTGTGGAGGGCAAACAGTAAGGCATGGGTCACTAGGGACTTTTTCTATGACTGGTTACACCTGCATTTGCCCCCAATGTGAAAGATTACTTAACTGAAAAGAAATTAGAACTTAAGTGCCTCCTGGTGTTGGGACAATGCCCCTGGTCATCCTACAGACGTGGCAGAGTGACTTTATGGGGACATGAAATTCATTAAGGTGAAGTTTTTGCCTCCTAATACCACTCCTCTCCTGCAGCCCATGGACCAGCAGGTTATTGCAAACTTCAAAAAACTGTACACAAAAGCTCTGTTTGAAAGGTGCTTTGTAGTGACCTCAGAAACTCAACTGACTCTAAGAGACTTTGGAGAGAGCACTTTAATATCCTCAATTGTGTAAACCTTATAGGTAAGGCTTGGGAGGGAGTGACTAAGAAGACCTTGAACTCTGCTTGGAAGAAACTGTGGCCAGAATGTGTAGACAAAAGGGATTTTGAAGGGTTTGAGGCTAACCCTGAGAGGATTATGCCAGTTGAGGAATCCATTGTGGCATTGGGAAAGTCCTTAGGGTTGGAGGTTAGTGGGATGATGTGGAAGAGTTGGTGGAGGAGGACAATGAAGAACTAACCACTGATGAGCTGATAGATCAACTTCAACAGCAAGAGGCCAGACCTGAGGAAACTGGTTCAGAGGAGGGGAGAGAGAAATTGAAGAAGTTGCCTACTACAAAGATTAAGGAAATCTGTGCAAAGTGGCTTGAAGTGCAAACCTTCATGGATGAAAATCACCCTCACACAGCTATTGCAAGCCGTGTTGGCAACCTGTACACTGACAATGTTGTGAAACACTTTAGGGAAGTCATAAAGGAACGAGAGGTACAGGCCACTATGGACAGATATGTTGTGCGAAAGAAGTCCAGTGACTCTGAAGCTGGTCCTAGTGGCATTAAAAGAAGAAGGGAAGTAACCCCAGAAAAAGACTCGACACCTCAAGTCTTAATGGAAGGGGATTCCCCTTCTAAACACTAACACTCTCTCTCCCCTCCTCCCATCCCATCAATCATCACCAGATCTTCAATAAAAGTAAGTGTCATGCAATTGTGCATGCCTTTTTCAGTTTGTGTGTATTAAAATTAACATTTCATGTGGTAAAATTTTTTTTTTTCATACTTTTGGGTGTCTTGCACGGATTAATTTGATTTCCATTATTTCTGATGGGGAAAATTCATTCGCATACCGAACATTTCGCATAACAATCAGCCCTCTTGCACGGATTAAAGTCGCTATGCGGGGGTCCACTGTATAGAGCTCTATGGACAGATATGTTGTGCGACAGAGGTCCAGTAACTCGGACTTGACACCTCAAGTCCTAATGGAAGGGGATTCCCCTTCTAAACACTAACACCATCCACACTCTCCCCTCCTCCCATCCCATCAATCATCACCAGATCTTCAATAAAGGTAAGTGTCATGTAATTGTACATGTCTTCTTCAGTTTGTGCATATTAAAATTAATATTTCATGTGGTAAGATTTTTTTTTTTCAATACTTTGGGGTGTCAGGAACGGATGAATTTGATTTCCATTATTACTTATGCGGAAAATTAACTCGACTAAGGATAATTTCGACTAACGATGAGCTCTCAGGAACGGATTAATATCGTTGGTCGAGGGTCCACTGTACTATGACATTTAAAGCGCCCCAGAGTGATAATATGCATATACAGTACACTCAGTACTTAACTTAAAATATTTGTAGTATTAATGTAGGGTGAAAAGTGAGTAAATGGTATAAAAACTTATAAATAAGAAAGAGAACAAGTAAATGAGAGAAGACAGAGCTGTAGAGTATGTAAACAGACGAACGCGTCTGGTTTAGGTTCATACACGTTCATAGTTTTGGAATGGCTGGTGCTATTATTTAATAAATGTATGGAAGAGGGTAAGGTACCTAGGGATGGGCAGAGAGCATGCATAGTTCCTTTGTATAAAGGCAAAGGGGATAAAAGAGAGTGCAAAAATTATAGGGGAATAAGTCTGTTGAGTATACCTGGTAAAGTATATGGTAGAGTTATTATTGAAACAATTGAGAGTAAGACAGAGAGTAGGATAGCAGATGAACACACACAGGTGAACAGTATTTAGATAAGGGTAAAGAGGTTTTTGTGACATTTATGAATTTCGAAAAGGCATATGACATGGTGGATAGGGGGGTCAATGTGGCAGATGTTGCAGGTGTATGGTATAGGAGGTAGGTTACTGAAAGCAGTGAAGAATTTTTACAAGGATAGTGAGGCTCAGGATAGAGTATGTAGGAGAGAGGGAGATTATTTCCCAGTAAAAGTAGGCCTTAGACAAGGATATGTGATGTCACTGTGGTTGTTCAATATATTTACAGATGGGGTTGTAAGAGAAGTGAATGCTAGGGTCTTGGCAAGAGGTGCAGAGTTAAAAGATAAAGAATCAAACACAAAGTGGGAGTTGTCACAGTTG